CTTGTATTTTTAGTAGACACGGGTTTATCATGTTGGCCAGGCTGGTCTCGAACGGCCGGACCTTCAGTGATCCACCGCTCGGCTCCCAAAGTAGCTGGATGACAGGCGTGAAGCCACCGGCGTCGGCCCATCTCCTCCCTGCTTTTGAAGGGGATTCTCTCGCTCTCGGATCTCCGGATCTCCGAGACGCCCCCCAACCCCGAACCGGCCTTGGCAGCCCCGCCCTCGCTGGGCTCTGCGGGCACCACCCTCCCTCGCCTGGGGCAAACCTTGGCTCAGCTCCCACCGCGGGCAGGGGCGGGGACGTCTGGAGCCAGCAAAAGCTGGTGCTTCCTCGCGGTAGGACTCTGAGCTAGTCACTTAACGTTTCGGCTTCTGTTCTTCATCCCCAACATGAGGTTAACACAGGCCTAGAAGGGCCGTTGGGTGGCCTGAGATAGAGCGCGAAGGCATCTCCCAGACCGCTCTAGACCCCGCTTCCCACACCCACCGCCTTCCCTCGGCCAGACGCTCTTTCCTCACTTGCTTGCGGGCAGAGGCCTACTGAGAGTCAGGCCCTGGGGCCACGCTTCCGATCCGGTGGGGAGAGCCTCAGGCGCGTCTACAGGCACCTGCCTGCCCTACCAACGCAACGGCAGACACAGACTCGCCCTGGGGGGGTGGGCAGAGCCGGGACCCAAAGCCCCAGCGCCCCACCCCCAGCTCGCGGACGCCGCTCCCTGGGGAGAGGGCGAGGCTGCGGCAGGTGCGGGCTGGATCCTCGCGGGGAAGGCTAGTTACTGCAACAACAGCCCGGCCGGAGCGGCGGCCCCGGGGACCCCCAAGCGGGGGCGCCAGCTGGTGGGGGCATGGGAGCGGGGAAGGGGAAATAGGGGCGTCTCGGGCAGAGGCGGGGGAGGGCGGGAGGAGGCGCCCGCTGCGGTGCCCCCAGGTTTAAAATCCAGAGGGAGGGTCAGACGCGGTGGCTCACGCCTGTAATCCCAGCGCTTTGGGAGGCCGAAGCAGGCGGATCATCAGAGTTCAGGAGTTCGAGACCAGCCTGGCCACATTGGCGAAACCCCGTCTCTACTAAAAAATACAAAAATTAGCTGAGCGTGGTGGTGGGCGCCTGTAATCCCAGCTATTCGGGAGGCTGAGGCACGAGAATCGCTGGAACTCGGGAGACGGAGGTTGCAGTGAGCGAGATCACACCACTGCATGCCAGCCTGGGCGACAGAGCGAAACTCCGTCTCCAAACAAAACAAAACAAGAAAAATCTAGAGGGAGCAAGGAGGGGACCCAGCCTCCAGCCCGCCCAGGGGTGGGGAGCGCCTTAGAAGACGGGGCAAAGGGTCCAGAGAGTCCCTGCCGGAAGCTCAGCTCCCTCCCTGCCTGGCGAGGCGTGGGGGACCCGGGTCGGGGGCGTGGCCGGAGCCTGCGGAGGCGCGGCCAGAGGGAGGGGCGGAGCCTCGCGGCCGCAGTGTCCGCCCCGCCCCTCCACGTCACGCGGTTGGAATGAGGGGAATCCGCGCGCGGAGGGGTCGGGCCCGCTTCTTCCAGATCCCCGGCCGCGCCGCCGCATTCCCGGGATGCCCGCTGGCGCCCCCGCAGCCACCGCCCGGCGGCGGAAGGAGGGGGCATCGCCGCCGTTCGCGCGCCCCAGGGCGGCTCCAGCCCTGGCAACCCCGGGCCTGCCCCGCCTCACTGGACGGAAGCGCGAGCCCCGGGCAGGGAGGGAAGCGGAGAACCGGGCTGGGAAAGATACCGCGGCTGAGGCTGCAGCGCCAGGCGCCTCCTGCGTTCTCCGCGCTTTTTTAGGTCCCTCCCTTCAGTGCCCCCAGCCAAGCCATAAGGTCTATATGATCACTCCAGCGCAGAAGAAATCGAGGCTGGGCAGGTGACTTTGTGCAAGGTCTCAAGAGGAGTGGGACTGGAACCCAGGCACTCGAACACCTTACCGCGGGGCTGCCCTGAGCTTCTTTGTGCGTTATCAGGGCTATCAGGGCTGAGACCTTCAGTGAGTGACACGGTACAGGCCCCTGTCGGTGTCGTGTGATTCTATTATGTCACATGTGGGCCTTAGGAGTGGGCCAGGGCTCTGGGCCTAGAGGTTCCCTGCAGGCCATGGCCCCTGAGTGACCTAGGAGACCTTCTTCCCCAAGGCTGCCTCTGGGTCTTCTCCCACCTGGGGAGGCGTTTACTGGAACCACAGGGGATGGGGTGGCCCAGCAGACCTGGGCTATCTTGTGCCCTTCAGATCCTATAGGCCAGGTGCCTACAAGCCTGACTTCTGGGGACAGCGGGAACCTCATGTTCCCCCAGCCTATGGGCACGCAGATCTTGCCGTGGGGTAGGGGTGTTGGGGGCTGGGAGGAGGTGTCATCTGAGGCACCCAGGACTGGTGCTATAAACCGATGTCCACCGAGCCCCTGAGGCAGCAGAAAGACTGTCTCATGGTGGCACAGTGCTGGGTGGCACAGTGCTGGGCGGCACAGAGCAGGGACTCAACTTCTATTTATGAAACAAATCTTAGATCTGAGCCTGGCTGCCCACCAAGGACCATTCCAGGCCTCAGGGAACTGTTGTGAAGGGAAATGGGGAGGAGAAAGTGGTGACTTAGGGTCTCTACCCTGATTGCTCACAGGGCCTCAGTCACGGACTGTCCATTCTAGCTTCACAACCATGGGCCTTGGGCTGCTAGACACCTCTGCCTGGGGGGTCCAGCAAACGTGAACAGAGGCAAGGTGCAGTGAGTGGCTCACGCCTGTAACCCCAGAACTTTGAGAGGCCGAGGCAGGAGGATCTCTTGAGGCCAGGAGTTCAAGACCAGCCTGGGCCGCATAGTGGTGAGACTCCTGCCTCTAGAAAATTTTTTTTTAAAAATTAGCCAGGCATGGTGCTGTGTGCCTGTGGTCCCAGTTACTCGGAAGGCTAAGGTGGGAGGATCGCTTGAGCCCAGGAGGTTGAGGCTGCAGTGAGCTGTGATGGTGCTACTGCGCTCCAGCCTGGGTGCCCCAGAAGACCCGGTGTCAAACCAACCAACCAACCAACCAATGAACCCATAACATGTTAACATAAATTTGTATGGGGGAAAAAAAGTAAACGGCCCAGGAGCAGTGGCTCACACCTGTAATCCTAACACTTTGGGAGGCCAAGGCAGGCAGATCACTTGAGGTCAGGAGTTCCAGACCAGCCTGGCCAACATGGTGAAACCCTGTCTCAACTAAAAATGCAAAAATTAGCAGGGTGTGGTGGCGCACGCTTGTAATCCCAGCTACTTAGGACACTGAAACAGGAGAGAATCGCTTGAACCTAGGAGGCAGAGGGTGCAGTGAGCTGAGATCGCCCCACTGCATTCCAGACTGAGTGACAGAGCAAGACTCTGTCTCGATAAATAAATAAATAAACCAACAGGGCCTTTGACCCCTAACCTGTACTCCCTGTTCAATGTCTTTGTAGAGAGAAGGGTGGCACTTTAAGCTGGCTATCACAGCCTGGCATTAACAGGCCTGCTCTCCTCCCTCCACTCCTCACACCAAGTAGTCACAACCTGCTAAAACCTCACCTCCAGGCTGGGCGAGGTGGCTCATGCCTGTAATCCCAGCACTTTGGTAGGCTTAGGTGGGCGAATCACGAGGTCAAGAGATTGAGACCATCCTGGTTAACACGTTGAAACCCCTTCTCTACTAAAAATAAAAAGAAATTAGCTGGGTGTGGTGGCACGCGCCTGTAATCCCAGCTACTTGGGAGGCAGAGGCAGGAGAACAGCTTGAACTCAGGAGGCAGAGGTTGCAGTGAGCTGAGATCGCACCACTGCATTCCATCCTGGGTGACAGCGAGACTCCCTCTCAAAACAAAACAAAACACAACAACAACAAAAACATAAAACAAACAAAAACCTCACCTCCATCACTTCTCCTTACCTGGGCCAAGACAGCAGCCTCGTAACTGGACGCCTTGCCTTCCTCCTACCAATCCATTTCCCCTCCCGCAATACAAATCAAAGCAACGCCTCATGTTCACAGAGTGAAGATTTAGGGCACCCTCCATGTGCCAGGCCCATGATTCACACCCACTGCTGCTTACCGGGACCCTGCCTATGAACTCCTGAGACACCCCTGCTGTCCTCAGTTTACCCCACTGCTCCTGCATTCCGGTGTGCCAGGTGGCCCGCTCCAGTCCCCTCTGTCCCCACCCCTCCCCTCCCACCCACAACACGCAGCCAGGAGGAGCCTTCGCACCGTCGCCAGCCAGTCCAACCTTCAGTGCCTGCACCTGCGGCTTCCCCAGCCCGGGGCACCCTCCTTGCCCACCTCACGGAGACTAGGCTCAGGTGTCACCTCCTCCAGAACCCCTGCCTGATTCTCCCGAACACGCCGCGTCTCCTTATCGCACCCCGCAGGAGTCAGCTGTTTCGCTGTCAGTCCCTCCCAGGAGACGGCTCCCACTCCCTACACCCAGCGAGGCACACGGTGGGGCTCAGTCACCCCTTCCCGGCCTCCTGGACGAATGAATGAATCTCAGAGGCAGGAGTGTGCGCGGGAGGCCGGAGCGTGAGGACGGAGGGCCGCGTGGCCAGCCTCATTCTCCGGCCACACTCGGGGCGCGCCGGGCCCCAGGGGCGGAGAACGGGAAGGGGCGGGTTCAGGCGGCTTCTCCGGAACCCAGAGGCACAGCAGGGCTGCGGGCGGGGCCCGAAGGGCGCGCGGGGTCCTGGGTCCCGCAGCCCAGGCCGCTCTTCCCCGCCTCCCGCTCCCCGCAGGTAAATCTGAGTCTCCACCAGGCTGCGCCGGCGCCTCCGGGTCCTGGAACCCCCGCACGGGTCCCCCCGGCCGCTCTTCGGCCCCAGCGATCCCCGGCCGTGACCCCCGCTTCGCGCACGGCGGCTCCCGGCCCGGCCGCCCGCTCCCCACACCCGCCCCCCGCGGCCGCCGTCCCCGCGCCCCGAGTACCCACCGGCTTGGCTCTTCCGGCGCGGGCGGGGGCCGGGCTGGGCGGCGTGGCGGGCTCGAGGATCCGCGGCCCGGGCGCACTCTCCCCGCCCAGGGCCCGCCGGGGGCCGGGCCGCAGCCTGTCGTCATCCCGGGCAGGGCGCGCACCCTCCGGCCCCGCCCCACCCCAGCCCGGCCGCGTCCGCGATGCCCCCGCCTCGGCCGGTTCCCGGGGCAGCCGCGTCCGGCCACAGCGAACACGCGCGCGCCCCTCCGGCCGAAGACCCGGCTCCCCGCCGCGGTGCTGGGGGCGCGGGGGCGCCTGACTTTCTCCCTCCTCCGGGCCCTTTGCATCTCCAGCCCCTTCCCTGCGGGCCGGGTCAGGGCCGCGCTCCCCGGTTTCCACCCACCCATGTCCCTTCACCCACCTCCCACACCGTCCTCCTGTTGTGAGTCTTGGGAGGTCCCAGCCCGGCGGACTGGAGAGGAGCTTCCATGCCCTCATCCTTCGACCTCACAGCAGCCGGCACTTGCCTTTTGTGCCCAGTATTCACAGTTCTGCCCACTGAGGTTCAGGAAGCTGGAGGAGTCAAGCCCAGACCTCCACTTCCCAAAATCCTGCTGCTGGAGGCGCTTACATCCTTACTCTTCCACTCACCCCGTCTTGTTCAGTCTGTTCTGGCCCCATCCAAGGATTCGAACCCGTCCCCCTCTGCTCACCTCTTGCCCTAGGGCTCTGCTTGAGAGGGGCTGCCCGGCCCTGGGGGAGATACTCCACCCTCCTCCCAGCCCAGAGCATCCCAGCTTACAAGCTTGCAGGGCCTGTGGGGATGAACCACGCGGATGATCTCCCCGGTGGGTACCAGCTCCACTTGCAGCGCCATTCCGCCCTGCGGAGAGCCAGCGCCCTGGGCACTGGGGCCTGTGAGCAAAAGCTGCTGCCCACTGGCTGGCTCTGACCGCTCCAGGAGCCAGGAACCTATGGTCTAACGCCGGGATGGCCACTTGGTTCTGCTTCAACTCCAGCCCCAGGGGATGTGGCTGGTCCAGCGCCTCAGGACACAGCTGGAGCCGTCCAGGTCTGATTGGGAGGCCTCTTGGCCCGGATGGTTGGAGCAGGAAGAGGAGGGGCTGGGGATGGAGGAAATGCCTGTTGTCCCAGGTAACCAGAGGAGCCCATGCAGCCACCCATGGGGGACCCTGGGCTCCAGGTCAAAGGGTAGGACGCCTTTCCCCTTCCCCCGCCACCCCCCAGCAGCTCTATGGCTGGGCCCCTCCTCCTGCCACTCTCTGGTACCAGCTAAAGCACAGGGCCCACTCCCCAAACCAGAAGGCATGCCCTCCCCTAGGCCAAGAGGACCCCTCAGTGCGCACTGCCTTTCCTGCACATCCCCTCAACGGGCTGTCCCCCACAGCAGGTGAGCCCCCACCATGAGTTTGAGTGGCCAGGGCTGCTGGGGGCTGGTCGTGCTGGGCAGAAGGCGTTGTCCCACTGGGAGAAGACTCTTGTCTTACCCTCCTCCGAGCCTCAGAGCTTGTGAGGTGAGTTCCTGGGTTCCCTGGGTGTGGCAACCTCTAGCCCTGTTCATCCTTGCATTTCGACAGTACCCCCAGGTGACCCCCCACCCCTGACGTTCCTGCTTTTCTATTTTTACTGCTGCTAAATCACAGCTGACACTTTCCTGGCCTGAGACTGAGCCCTCTGGTCTCCAGCCATTCCTTAGAGGAAGTCAGAACAGGGAAGTGGATAGGGGAACAGACCTTTCCAGAGGGAGAGGCTGGCATAGGAAGGGCCGAGTCCTGTGGGCGTGTGCTGGCACCGACAGCCCCATAGGCAGGGGCCTTCCCCTCGGCACCCTTCCGTCTCCCCACAGCTTCCCCCGCCCCGGAAAGGCTAGCAAGCCCTCCTTCCTTCCTCCGGGAAGCACATCTATCCAGGGCAGGCTCATCCCCAGCGGCCACACAATGGCCCTTATCAGCCGTGGAGCCAGGCGTAGACCCAGTGCACACCAGGTCTCACTTATTTCCTGTTTCCACCCAGTGGGTCGGGGTGGACCCAGAGCGGCCATATCCTGACTGGGGCCCAGAAGACGGAGAGCACCCCCGCTCCCCCTTTCCGCCTCTCAATCACTGCTGGGCTCACCCCTCCCTCACAGGACGCAGGGTGTGTGGGGGCCTCAGTTCACTACGGGGGAGGTGAGCATGTGGGGGGACCCCTGGAGTCAAGCCCCAGGGCTGCATTAATCTGAACGGGGAGGCGGGTCTACGCGATATACTTTTTGCAATGGTTCTCCCACAATAATCTTGAGAATAGGGACGTCATCTGTATTTTCAGACTACTGAGACCGCTCTGCGGGTGGGTTCAGACCCCTTTCCTGTTTCTGGTCCTGCAGGAAACCACAGGTGCCTGGAACTTTGAAGAGACTGCACCACTTCTCTGAGCCTTGGCTTTCCTGTCTGCCCAACGAAGGGTGCCAGACGGCAACCCTCCCGACGGCTGTGTGTGTGAGAAGGAACAGGCGGGCAGGTGAGGGCTTTGGAGGTCCCTAGGTGTATGTGCTGGGGGCAGGTATAGGTTACCACGGGGGAAAACTCAGCAAGAAGGGTGTGAGAAGTGGGGCAGAAAGCGAAGATGGTGGCATTCTGGACCGGTTAACGCAGGAAGAAGGCTCCACACCCAGGGTATGCGGGGCAGCGGGTCAGGAGGGATGAACGAGAGCTCATTCGACTTAGCAGAGTCCATGAAGCCGCCACTGGCATAGACGGCATGCTCCACCTGGTTAGCGCCCCAGAGGCTCACCATTCTGGAACCTCATCCTAGCCCCAATCCTGGCCACTTCTGCAAATCTCAGACACAGAAGTCTAGTTGGGATCTCCAGGGCCCCTGTTCCTGGAGTCTACAGAGTCCCAGGCCCACCACTGTACCCCCCACCCCCCAATCATCAGTCACACACAAGTGTAAAAGCCACGCTCTAATTACCCCTGCACAATGTAACAGTCACAAAACAGCCAGCCATGGCCTGCTGGAAGCCAGGGGACAGTTCTTCATACACAGGCTTGAGGGGGAGAGTATGCAACACAGAGCAGCTGGAGTGGCCCTCAGTCTCAGGACACAGGATGGCAGGACAAGCACTGAGCAGGCTCCCAGAGGTGTCTTCTGGGAAAAGGGCTGCCGAGTGACCACGGCAGGAGGCAAGTGGTGGATGTGGGGACAGACCATGTCCACAAAGCCCCTAGAGAGTGCTCTCTGAAGACCCCCAGGGCCAGATCCTCCAAAATGTCTTGAGCTAGTTCTCCCTTCTGCCTGCCCCCACTTTGAGGTCCTGGGGGGTCCAGAGGGGGGCTGTCGTCAATGACTCTTTTTTTTTTTTTTTTTTTTTTGAGACGGAGTCTTGCTCTGTTACCCAGGCTGGAGTGCAGTGGCCTGATCTCAGCTCACTGCAAGCTCCTCCTCTCGGGTTCACGCCATTCTCCTGCCTCAGCCTCCCGAGTAGCTGGGACTACAGGCACCCGCCACTTCGCCCGGCTAGTTTTTTGTATTTTTTAGTAGAGACGGGGTTTCACCGTATTAGCCAGGATGGTCTCGATCTCCTGACCTCATGATCCGCCCGTCTCGGCCTCCCAAAGTGCTGGGATTACAGGCTTGAGCCACCGCGCCCGGCGTCAATGACTCTTGACAAGGGTGGTGCATATGCACCTAACCTGACAAGTACCACCCTGGAAAACTCTGTGGCCACAGCTCCTTGACCACCTGTCACCCCTTCCTCAGCCGGCAGGGCGGAGGCATGGGACTCAAGCTACCAGCAGAAGCGAACCTAGATCCTTCCCAGTTCTCTCTGTTCAGGCTCTGGAACTTCCTGGGTCAGACTCCACGACGTGGGTAGGGAGGAAGGTTGTGCTGGCCGAAGGACCCTCATCAGCCTCCTCACAACCGACGTAAGAGCCTGGCCAGAGGGGTCAGACTGCTTTTGCTGAGAGCAGGAATCCAGACCCTCTGTTCACTCCTCCCGGGACAAGCTATGAGATGCCAAGACTCCTAGAAGCCAGCACTGCTTGCACCAGTCTATGTAGCCTGTACAAATGTGAGCATCTCCCCGCCCAGACAGCCTGAGGCCCAGGACGGCACGACAAGAATGCAGGCCTGTGCCAAATGGGGCATGTGCCTGGCGGGACTACTTGGGCTAGACTAGAAGAGGGGGTAGGAATCCAGAAATAAGTCGCAGAACTGTCCCCAGGTCTTCACTGTTGATGCACTAGCTGGTTTCACTCACATCTCAGCAACAAAAACCTGTATTTAAGTGGCTAATTCCAGAGATGAGTAGTGGAGAGAGCAAAGGAGTCTGGCTAGAGCTCACTCTGGGAGGCGTATGCGGAGAACACTTGGCTGTCTCTTCAGGGGGTCAGGCTGGGCCCCCAGCACTCCTGGCAGTGGAAAGGCAGAGCTGGCTGCCAGCTCTGGCCGCCTCCTGGGATTCACTCCCATCCTGGCTCAGATCTGTGGCTGTGCTTCACCCAGTGGGTCCTCCCTCAAGGAGCCAGGCGGGATCTGCAGGGGTAAAGCAGGTGGTGGAAGTGGAGAGTGGGCCTTCCTCTGCTTTCCATCACCCCGTTCCTCCACTGCAGCGGCTCCTCACGTACAGACCGGCCCCAGGCCTGGGCCTCAGGGAACCGACGATGGGCTCAAGCCCTCCCGCTCCCGCTTCCCTCACCAGCATCACTTACCTGGAAGGGTCTGCTTATCCCCACCACAGAACGCAGACTGTTGCTGTAGTAACAGAGGAGAAACTCATCTTCAGTTGCAGGGATATTGCTGATGTCGATGTAAACCTGGAGGGGAAGGGGGATGGACAGGACTGGGGTCAGTTCCAGGGCTCTGGGCTCCACCCAGCTCGGAGTGACAAGTTATCCAGCACTCTGTTCCTTCCACGAGACAGGAGTGCTGAGGCAGGCCCGCCTGCTGGTGACGTACCTGGTGCTGGTGACGTACCTGGTTCAGGTTGTCGCTGCAGGAGACCTGGCTGTCCCCAACCCAGGCGTAGGACACGTAGTCATTAATGTCCCGCAGCCCCACCTGTGAGGGGGAGTCAGGCCATCAGTGGTCAGGGAGGACATGGGACGCTAGGCAAGTCCTAAGGAGAATAGTCTCACCGCTGGGCCTGGCTACTGTACTGTACGCCTCCCCGCCGCCCTTCCCTGCCAGCCCTAAGCTACAGAAGAACCGCTGGGGTGGACGAGGGTGTTTGTCAGCATCTGCCCAGCTCCCAGGAGCCCTCGGGAAGGACGAACTGGGGGCTGTTGCTGATGGACTCCCTGCCTTGCCACCACATCACCTTGTACAGTCCAATCCAGTCCCACGGGCTGCTGGGGAAGTCCAAGGTTGACGAGTAGCTGACCATCATGTCATTCTCCACGGTCCACAGGTCCTCGGGCATCAGGACAATCAGCGGAGCAGACACCAACGGCTTCAGCTAGACACGGGGGTGGGAGGGGCTGAATCATTCCCTCCTCTGAGGCCAAGTGTTCCTCACTGTGCCCTTCCAACATAGCGGGGAAGGTGGGGCACCCAGAGGGGGTGGGCACAGGACTCCGCTGGGCTGCTCCAGCGGGCTTTGGCTGGCCAGCAGGAAAGAGGGTCAAACACCAGTCAGGAGGGTGGCCGGCCCTGTCAGGGAATGGCGGAGGTAGGAATGGCGGAGAGCAGAGGCTCGGCTGAGAGGCTTAAGGAGGTGGCCAGGCAGCTGCTGTCAGGCCTCCTGGGTATCTGACCTAAAGCCCCACATGGGGGCTGCTCTGGTGAGAACAGCTGTGAATGTGCAAGAACACAACAGAGAAACCAGTGTGGGCCGGGCACGGTGGCTCACGCCCACAATCCCAACAGTTTGGGAGGATCACTTGAGCCCAGGAGTTCGAGACCAGCCTGGGCAACATGGTGAAACCCTGCGTCTACAAACAATACAAAACGTAGCCAGGCGTGGTGGCACCTGCAGTCCCGCTACCAGGGAGGCTGAGGTGGAAGGATCGATCACTTGAGCCCAGGAGGTGGAGGCTGCAGTGAGCTGTGATGCCGCCACTGTATTCCAGCCTGGATGGCAGAACGAGAGACACGCACGCACGCACACGCACACGCACACACAAGCACGCCGGTAAACCTGTATGAACATGTGAAGGCTGACAGGCAGCAGCCTGAAGGAGGCCAACACCTTGGTCGTTTAGACAGCAAGATACAAGGACGCAGGGGTGGAGGGAGCTCCCATTGCAACTTGATCCAGATAGGTTTAGGACAAATAAAAGAAGTCCTACTTCTCACATTGGGTAATAAGCCTAATGGAACTCATTAGCCCCAAGGGAGAATACCCAAAGGAAATGGAAACCTTTTCACAAAGGGTTTGAACACGTTTTTGACAGAGCCATCTAACGGCTCCTAAGAGGAGCTGGGATATCTGACCTGGCAGGAAAGGCAATCATGGCCTCCACAGGTCTCCCCTGGGGGACTGGCTGACATTCGAATCCAGGGATGGAGGGCTTGGGGATGTGGCCAGCATAGCTACTCCTCTGGCAAGTATCAGGCAGCCTGGAAGTTCACCTCCAAGTCGAAAGTGCCGGTGACAGGCTTATGGTCGCTGATGCTGTACACCATGTGGCTGCTGTAGCTCCTCAGAGACAGGGAGAAGTCTGGGGCCGGCAGTCTGGGAGTGTCGGGGCCAGCCTGGGGCTGCCGCTTCAGCCTCCACAGGATGCGATCGGTCCACGCAGGCTTGCGTTTTTTCTCACTGCGGGGGCAGGAGGCATAAAGAGGAGGAATGGGGAGAGAAGAAAGGTTGGCATAAGAGCAGAAAGGAGCCCACGAGAGCTTGCTGGAGCCCCTAACTCCAGCACCCACTGGCAGCCACAGACCCCAGGCCAGAGCCGGAGGGAGCATGGCAGCAGGCAGGAAGGTGCCCAACAGAATCCAAGGTATGCCGGCCCTTGTCAGACTTAGCCAGGACCCTCTGTATGTTCAGCTCATGTTTTTAGGGTCAGATTGTGACTCAGAAACATTTCATTTCATTTGCTCTTTTTTGAGCACATGCAGCAGTGGATCAAAGCAGCTGACGTCTGGGGTTCTGAGACTGGACAGACCTGAGCTTGAATCTGACTGCCCTGCATACTAGAAGGATACCTCAGGAAAGGGAAGGGAAGCACGTAGGAAATGCTTACCAGACGATGCCTGTGATCTGGACTGTTACCATACCTTTTTTTTTTTTTTGAGACGGAGTCTCGCCCTGTCCCCCAAGCTGGAGTGCAGTGGCGCGAATGCCTGGGCTCACTGCAAGCTCCGCCCTCCTGGGTTCACGCCAATTCTCCTGCCTCAGCCTCCCGATAGCTGGAACTACAGGCGCGCCGCCACCGCGCCCAGCTCATTTTTTGTATTTTTAGTAGAGACGGGGTTTCACATGGTCTCGATCTCCTGACCTTGTGATCCGCCCGCCTCGGCCTCCCAAAGTGCCTGGGGAACAGGCGTGAGCCACAGCGCCGGGCCTTTTTTTTTTTTTTTATTAAGAGAAAAGGCGTCTGACTTTCATTCCAGGGCTGGAGTTCGTGTGCCGTCCCGAGTTACTGATAGCCTCAAACTCACTGGGCTCAAGCATACACCTCACCCTCCTGGAGTGGCTGGGACTCTAGGTGGCGGTGGCACCCATGCCGTAGCGAATTTTTAAACAGTTTTTTGTAACACCGTTATGTTTCCCAGGGCTAGTTTTGAACTGCTGGCCTCACAATGATGCTTCCCATCTCAGCCCTCCCAAAACGTTGGGATTAGAAGGCATGGGGCCACTGTGCCTGGGTATATCATGCTCTCTTTAAAGTAGGAGAACAGAACTGAGCTCAGAAGGAGCCCTTTCCCAAAGTCACAAGCCTACTAACTGGTGGAGTCAGGATACAAGGGCCAGCTAGCACGTGACGTAACGAGCATGTGCATTCTATTTTTTTTTTTTTGTTTTTGGTTTTTTTGAGATGGAGTACTACGCTCTGTCGCCCAGGCTGGAGTGCAGTGGCCGGGATCTCAGCTCACTTGCAAATCCGCCTCCCGGTTCACGCCATTTCCTGCCTCAGAACCTCCGAGTAAGCTGGGATACAGGTGCCTGCCACCTCGCCCGGCTAGTTTTTGTATTTTTCAGTAGAGGACGGGGTTTCACCGTGGTTTAGCCAGGATGTGTCTCGATCTCCTGACCTCGTGATCTTGCCCGTCCCAAAGTTCTGGGATTACAGGCTTGAGCCACTGCGCCGCCGGCCGAGCATGTGCTCTTAACCACCCAATACTCAACCTCTCTCAGGCCTCAGCCTTCCTCCGTCTGCCAGTGGAGGGAGAACGGTAGTACGCCGAAGGGTTGCTGAGAACTAAATGAGATCAAGTAACTAAACACGTTACACACTGGTTGGCTGCCAAAATGGAGCTCCCCATGACAGCCTGGCCTTATGATTTCCTCTTAAGAGCGACTGAGGCCGGGTTGTGTGTGCTCACAGCCTGTAATCCCAGCACTTTGGGAGGGCTGAGGCAGGCGGATCATGAGGTCAGGACATCGAGACATCATGGCCAACTGGTGAAACCTGCGTTCTACTAAAAGTTACAAACATTAGCCCAGGCATGTGGCGGTGCCTTTAATCCCAGCTACTCGCGGAGGGCTCGAGGCGGAGAATCGCTTGAAACCTGCGGAGGTGGGAAGGTGCAGTGAGCCGAGATCGCAGCACTGCACTCCAGCCTGAGCAACAGAGCGAGACTCTGTCTCCAAATAAAAGAAAAGTTGACTGAGAGACCTCCCACTGGGGTTTGGAAGAGGTCATACAGCTCTGGAGACAAAATACATTCCTCCTCTAGGTAACTGAAGTTGACCAAAGAAAAGTCTCTGACCCGTAATCCAGCCTTCCCAAGCGACTACTGGGGCAGTTTCAGCTTGGCCCAGTAGCCCTGAGTTCTGGAGGTGGGCTGCGTGTGTGGTGGGGGAGCAGGACAGCTGCTGTTTCTGGGTTCCTCCCCCTTGGTGGACAATCCCCTTTCTTGAATGAGCCCAGAGTAAAACAGCCTGAATGGGTCAATCAATCAATCTGCAGACAGGGTCTCACATGTCACCTCATCTACTGATCTATCCACAGGGCCTCACTGTGTTGCCCAGGCTGAGTGCCGGGGCACAATCCTAACTCACTGCAGCTTCACACGCCTGGGCTTCAAGCAACCCTCCCAGCTCCGCCTCCTGACCAGCTAGGACCACAGGCGTGTGCCAGGGCACCTGGCTATTTTACAACCTTTAAGGTGTCTTCACTGCCTCCAGAATCAAGTTTAAGTCCCCAAGTGGGGCTTTCAAGGGGCTCAGGAGTCTGACCACCCCCGCCCTTCATCTCACACCACTTCCCTTGCCCACTCCACCTTGCTGACTCTCTCAAGCCTCTGGACCTTTGCTTTTGTGGTACTTGCTGCCTGGAACACAGTTCTTCACCAGGGAGAGGCCTCTGCCAAAGCCATCCCGGACCTCATCTTTTTGCTTTTGAAGCATTTTATACCAGTATTATACGATTACATTATATTGCAATTTTCTGTTTCCCACTCAGCACGTCACTTAGTGTGTGAGCCCTGAAGGCAAGGACTTGGCTGTTGGAGTGTCCTGTGTATCCTCAGCATTCACACAGATCCTGGCACACAGGTACTCAATAACCAGGTACACTTACTAAAAACCCAAGCTCAAGCTCGTCCCTCAAAAATGCCCATCTAATCTTAATGTTTACAGCTCCATATACTCGCAATCAGTTGGAAACACTATTGTTGTCTCCTCTTTTATTCAACTGCTATTTTTTTTTTTTTTTTTTTTGCAAGAGGCTGCAGTGAGCTATGAGGACACCACTGCATTCCAGCCTGCATGACAGCAAGACCCTGTCTCTAAGGAAAAACAAGGTGGGGTAGAGGGAACTTGGTTGGTTAATTTGTACACGCTCACTTTGT